TTGTATGGGTATGTAATCGTCCACTTTCACAGTATACCAAGACAAGGCAATGCTCATATATTTCATTAAAATATTCCTTATTGATGGTGTGACTGTTATCACAACATGTCTTCCCTTGTCCTGAAGCTTTTTGCTCCTGATCCCAGTTATGATCCTGCATTTGTTTTCTAAGTTGTTTTCATTAATATTCCTCCATATGTCATTTTGATGAATCATTATTTCTATTATTTCGTCATCTTTTATTGTGTTTGGTACATCTAGAAGAATTACTTTAGGCTGCCTTTTCCCTGAAATTCTACAATTAACCCTCTTTTCTATTTCCGGAATTCCCTCCACCGCCGTTTTCAGTCTTTCACCCTCTTCTTCGTTAGTAACTGTGAAACATATTCCGTTTCCCTTGATTCTTTTAATTCCTTTTACTTTGACTTGTATTTGTTTCGGTTGTATGTTATCTTTAATTTTTTGTACTATTTCTTCCATGTTTGTTTTATTCTCTTCTTCGCTTTTTGGGTATAACAAAACTGCGCTATTTCCCTCAGTTTCTTTGCTTTTATTAATTGCAGCTGTATTTTGACTTTGGTTCTGGTGAGGATTCAAGTTTGCTTTAGCCGCTTCCGCGTAGCTTATTTTGTTTGATCCTTTTTTATTTTGGTTTATACTTGTTTTAATTTCCTTGATTGTTTCTATTAAGTTTGGAGTTATGTCACTTTGTTCTTCCATTCTTGTTCTCATTTCAGAGAGAATGCCGTACATCTGTTGCAATGCCGCAAAAAGATGAACAACTCTGTCCTTTATTTTCTTCCTTTCTTCTATCTTTATTTTGGTCTTGTAAGATTCCGGAAGTAAATCCATTATCCTCCTCATTTGTTGCTTGGCATCCTTAAGAATTTTGTCTTCAATTGTATTACCTATTGTTAAGTTGCAAATATTTGTTGGGGTTTCCCCCGAATCCTCTTGGGTTTCATCGCAAAATAATTCTGTATTATTCTCAATTCCCTCCATTGTGAAAGAGTACCAAATAGTTTATTATAAACAATTAAAAAGGAAGGTTGTGTTTTTGAAAAGGATGGTTCTGTACCACAGCAACACTGTACTATTGAGTCGTGACTCAACCCACAGTGCAGAAAAGATAGATTAAACTTATTAAAAATTAATTAAACTACTTAATACTAATTTGACAATTTTTACATTGATGTTCTATAGTTGATCTTCCTCTGACTGTTGATTCTCATTGGCAGATTGTTAACTTCCTGTTACAAAAATCCAAATCCTCAAAAAGCACGTTAAAATGTCAATGACGTCACTGGATAACCGTTAAAGTCCGTTATAATCCGCTTAAGTTGTAAAGGTCGTTGACTGTTGCCTAGGTAACCGCTTTCCGTTAAGTGTATAAAGTTGTTAAAAATTCGTGGATTTTAAACTTGCCGTAATTTGAATAATTTTGGAGATTTTAAGCTGAAATTTTTGTAGAAAATTACTGAAGATCCCCTTCCACTGATAGCCGTAAAATTTTGATTGTATCTGTCACTAGAGGCCCGATGCGGGCCCGCAAAGTCCGACGTTAACAAAGTTTAAAAACGTTATTTTTCGGGAACGGTTGGTCCTAGACCCCCAAAATTTTGGTGTGGTACTTACAGTTTGTAGCTTTATAGAATTCCGTTGAGAATTCCGGTTGAACGGCCTTATTCTCCGGATGAGCGAACCCCGAAAAGTTGACTTTTTTATCGGCTTCTAACTTCCAAAATTCTGACCTTAGGGTCACAAAAGTGGCACCGTTAGATTCCTCTTGTTGAGCCAGTTCTGATGATGTAAGATCTATTACAATGTGTGCACTAAATACCAAGATTAAAAACGATCGATCAGGAGCCAAGTCTAGGACACTTCAACTGATGTACTCCATGATTTGTATTATTCCTTAGTACAATCGCATCCATATTCATTGTTGAACATGCCATTATAGGCATACCTGTCTCTGCTGCAATGTCAAGGGAAGCCATATCAATGCTCACCATGCTGATAATCTGTGGTGCTGCAGACATTGTTGCACTGTCCATGCAGACACTTGCTGTTCTGAAAACAATCCAAGTTCCTAACTCAGGGTATGTGACATGGCTATATGATCCCACAAGGCTTTTCAGACAAGATGTCTGTCTTCTTGGGTGTTGGTGACCAGGGGCTGCTGAGATCTTGCATGGTGTTCTGTATGTATATTCTCATGACAGTCATGGGATCATGACCAATGTGAGCAGCAGTAGCGTGGAACAATAAACCACAGTCCTGGTAGGCTTCAATTCTATCACAATCAAACTCTGACACAAGCTGTCCTCCTTCTTACACGAGGCATAACAAAATCTTTACACAAGCAACCAATGTGCAAATTCCTTATCTATAGTATAAGAAACCTACTTTACAATCTTCTCTTCTATACAGACTTTAGGTGGCTTTACTCCTACCTGCTTTGTGAGCATGCCTTGAAATGCTAATCATTTGCATATGTATCTTACATACAAATTTCACGTATGTTGTGTGCCACCTTCATGGTATAGCAATTTTAATGGCCAGCAGTGTATTTAAATTTAAAATTAATCTGAAAACACAGAATTAAAACATACTTCTTTGCAGCTTTAACAGAAATAAAGTTAAAACTTTTAGAAATAAATTATTTCTAATTTATGTTAAAGAAACATTTGTAGAGTGTCCTGTAGGATGAAGTCTGCGGAATTAGAGAAAAAAAAACATCCAAGTCGGCTTAACAAATATACTGGGATATTTAATCTTTTCACATTGGCAGATCAGAATATATACATAGGACACAAACTACCACATGATTAACAATCTACAGTGCACAACTAATAACAATATAATATTTTACGTGTTTTTTTTTACATTTCCCTCTCTTTCCTCCTCTCCCTTCAGGGGCTCCATGGCACAAGACAAAAAAATCAAATTGTGCATAACACAAATAAAAATAAACCTACGTATTCACAACACTTTTTCTACCATGTATAAACAATGAAAAAAGAAAACTAATATGTTTGGGTGAATCTTCCACCGATTTTCTTTTTCTTGAGTATGTTCTATCTTGATGTTAAAATGCCCTTGTTTGGATGGTGACAGATGCTGTCTCATCACCTTTTTCCTCGATCCTGGGTCCTCTCATGCTACTCCTTACCAGGTCAATGAGCTATTGTTCCTTTGTTCGAAAAATGTCCTTTGATGCTTGCCTTCTCAATTTCCGTATCCTTCACAGGTAGCCAGAACAAAGCAAAGAAAAAAAATTCCCTACCACACATGGATCACTACTTTTTATACTGTGCCAAGCAGATATCCTTCCCATGTGACCTCCACTGGCCAATTCGGCTGCAAACATAACGTGAACTGGAAAAAAGTGGTACCATGAATGAAAACAAAGAGGTCAAGGGAAAAACTGATACACAAAAATACATAGTTGCAAAGCACTACACATTCTTATAAATAGTAATATAAAATTAAAACATATAAGTGGAAAATGATTTTTCTTTAGAATTATAATTATAATGAAAATTTCTTGGATTTAAATTTTTAGTTCATTCATTCAATTTAAGTGGCACTTGAATTTGTGAAATATTGCAAGAAAGGAAAATCAGAAAATCTATGATCAACAGATGAGTTTATAAAAAAATATTCTAATAAATATTTTTCTCTAAGAAATAATAATTAAATCTATTGTTGAAATGTTTCTATATGAAATACATTTTTATTTTTCAAATGATATGAACATTATTTTTATATTGAATTTTGTTTTATGCTTCAGATTTTATAATAAATTAAAATAATAAAATTTATAACATAAGATACTCTTTTGTAAAGGTGCTTTGTGTCAGTATGTCTGCCATCACCAACATTCTGTTTTGTACCCCTCATTCATCTTGACTTGAGTCTAACTGACTCTCCCTTCCCTGATCAGCAAGTCTTACAAATTTAACACGTTATTACTAATGAGAGATGGTATTTGAGGTTTAGAAGCTTATTTTAATTTTTTTACTTCATATTTTGTTTGAATAAATTGAGTTGAAATAACTTCAAATAAAAAGCATATCCGACATGCTGCCTTTATGAATTTTGGAAAGGATATAACATTGTATAAACAGTAAAATAAGTAATAATGTGTATGGGTAAGAAGCTCCCAAGTTTAATTAATTATGCAATTGTAGTTAAAAAGTTCCATTTGAGAAATTTTGAACTAACAGATAAACAATCTATCAGGCATTCAAAAGATGTCAACAAAGAAAAATTGCAGGAAGAAATTGTTAAAAATCTACAAAAAATACACAATATATATATATAACCAAAAGTACCAAAAATAAAACACTGAAAACATACGAGCATAATGTGAGAGCAAGAGCTGATTTATGTTTATGGTTCAAACACATTTTTTTGGTGCATGCACAGTTTGAACTCTGAAGCATTGTTCAAAATCCAAGGCAAATTTTTGTTGAATTAAGTATTCAAATTCTGAAGCATTTGAAATATGAGGTACTACTCTATGTGTATATTGTATATGAAGCTATTAAAATTGAAGAATAGGAAAAACACCAAAAATAAAAAAAGAAAGAATATGATATAACTTAAATCAAAATAATTTGCAAATGATTTTGAACTATAATTTCATCTTTTATAGCTAGTGTATTGCTATTTAGTTGCATCACAACAATTAATACATTAATTAAGTGCTATCAAAAATTTGACATTAATGATATTCTCCTTATAAAGTATTTTATATTGAACTAATAGAAGAATTAAATCTTTTCTTTTTTTTTAGGATACTAAAATAGTTAGTTTTAAAGGTACAGGATATATAGAAGTAATTAGCCATCCTTTAACTGAAGAAGGAAATTTTGGATTTACATTTCAGTCAACACAAACCACATCTCTTTTAATGATATCTACGTTTGAAGGATTTAGTACTTCAATGGATAAAAAAATGGTAAGTTAACATTTGAATTAATATAAAAAAAAGATTTTAAAATATATTTTAAAATTTGTAACACCTGACATATGTATCTTACATACAAATTTCACGTATGTTGTGTGCCACCTTCATGGTATAGCAATTTTAATGGCCAGCAGTGTATTTAAATTTAAAATTAATCTGAAAACACAGAATTAAAACATACTTCTTTGCAGCTTTAACAGAAATAAAGTTAAAACTTTTAGAAATAAATTATTTCTAATTTATGTTAAAGAAACATTTGTAGAGTGTCCTGTAGGATGAAGTCTGCGGAATTAGAGAAAAAAAAACATCCAAGTCGGCTTAACAAATATACTGGGATNGAAACAAAATTTATCAGAGTTCTTAAATATTTTCATTTTTGGAATTTATTATATGCTGTAGTAAAGAAATTAAATCTAACATAGAAATTATTATTTTATAGCATTATTATGCTGTAATGCTTTTAAATGGAAAATTGGAAGCTCGTTTTAATGCTAATGCCGGTGAAGTGAGGATAACAAGTGAACAGAAATTTAATGACGGAATTTATCATTCTCTTAAAGTGGTTAAGAGAAATAGAAAGTATGTATATAAATATTATAATTTTGTTTAGTTTTAATGAAATTATAATGGTTTACTTTTATTAATGAATAATAAAATCAACTAAAAAAATTTCTCCTTCAGACAAAATTTTTTAAATTACTTTGAAAAATTCAAATATCAAACATAACAATTTTGTAAAAGTATTCAAATAATATATAAAATTTATAAAAATTTCATTTGAAAGGAGAAACTTNACTGTACTTTGAAAAATTCAAATATCAAACATAACAATTTTGTAAAAGTATTCAAATAATATATAAAATTTATAAAAATTTCATTTGAAAGGAGAAACTTATTTAATGAATATGGACTTTATAGAATCTTTGATCACTAAGTGATATTCAGAAGTTATTTTCATATTGAAAGTGACTAGAAAGCTATGAAAGATTCATTCCATTTGTGTATAATTGTTCTCAAGAAATGAATAACTCAATTCTATTCAGGGTATTAGACATTTTTGGATGTTTCAGTAATTGTGAAAAGAAGGTTAAGACACTAATATGCTTTAAATATTTCCTGTGTCAATTAATTTTAGGTCTTATTTTTAAGGAATTTTCTCATTTGTATGTTTCAAGTATTTTGTAAAATTTATAATGATGATATCATAATTTTTTAAAACAAAAATTAATATAGTCATAGATAATTGCAAATTGCAATAGATAGAAATTCATTCATCATGCAATTTGAAGTTATAAATCAAGGTGAGATTAAGTTTAAAAGGAAGAAATAATTGGAAAAGGAATAAAGTTAGTGGAGGTTTTTGTGTAAGGGCTAAATTTATTCTTTGATATGATCATCTCCATCAACTTTATTCCTCTTCAAACATATATTTTATAAATGTGTCTTTATCAATGACTCAATATTTTTGATTTTAATAATATAGACAAATCAAAGCACAAAAATTTAACAATAAGGTCCCAGTCTTTACATGAAATACTGTAAGTTTACCAAATGAAATATTTATTTAATAATGTGAAAATAACATATGGTTGAACAAATTTGCTGATATTCTTGAATTTTCTAATTGATGTCTTTTATTGATTTTTCTTTCAACATCACACATCAATTAGTTCTGAAGTCTAACTCAGAATAGAATACGACTCTTCTTTAAATTTCAACATTTTACCACTTTGAGCCAAACATTAACTGTCTAGTCCTGTGTACCAATGATGCTCTCTCTTCCAATATATCATATGTCATATATGATACATAGCAAAATTACAATTTACTACAAGATATTTGAGTTTGTGAAAATTCTTACCTAAATTTGGAATATTTTGATGAACCTCAAAAATGCTATGGGATGAATTTCTTATTGGCTATTGAAACTGTTAATTATTTATGACACACAAAATTGTATATCATTATTTTATGCTTGAAAATATTAATACTGTATGAAATCATTTAAATATCAAATATTTATATTTGAATATATAAATTATACTAAAAAATTATTGTAGTTATCAATGTAAAATTTTGAAAAAGAAAAAAATTATTTTGCAATTAAAAAATAAGATTTTATGGCAAATAATTAAGATTTAAAATGTTAAATATTTTACATTGTATAGTTTTTACATGAGATGTAGAAAAAACAGATTAATTTAAATTGATTGCAAAAAATTATTTTTTTAGAAATGTTAATGTGTTTTAAATTAAATTCTTTTTAGAATTATAATGATTGTTGATGATAAAGAAATTGGAAATATAAGAATGCCAAAAGGATCTAAAACCATTGAAGCTCCTGATGAAGGTGGATTGTTTTTTGGTGGTGTTCCCGAAGAGGTTTTTATTGGAAATAGAACTGCCACTCGTGAACCATTTAAAGGAGTAATTAAAGATGCCATTTTCAATGATAGGTTTGTTGTTTATTGATTTTTTGATTATTGATTGATACTTTGCAAAGATCTCATATTTTAGTTTATTTAATATTTGTAACTTTATAAAACTTTATTAAATTACAAATGCTAAATATAAGTAATAATTTAACATAATATAAATAATAATATAGATTATTGCTTTAATAGATTATAAAAATCTACATCATTTTTTATTGTATGTACTCTTATTAACCTTTATGGCTAAGTCTCACTGTATAATATACATTGACCTTAAGGTAGATTTAACTCTTGTACTACCATGAAATCAATGGTGACCTCACTCTTTATTTGCGAATCTTATATTTTTTACAAAAATGTTTGTAATTTTTTTCCTTTTATGACTTTTAATATTTTTTTTCAATTGTCCCTGTGCAAAAAGGATTTTCTGCCAGAGGTTTTATTTTACAAGTTACATTTTAAAACTCATATCTGTTACTATATGGTGAACTGTGACCTCAAAGTTAATTTTTTTATTTTAATAAGTTTTAATAAATTTTGCATTGTGTGTCAACATTTGTGTAGAATTGTTAAATATTCATTAATTATTGTTCTCTATCGTTCCTGAACTTTCGTGATTGTCTTCAGATGAATCATCATTTGACAAACTACAGGAATTATACTGCTCCACCACTTCTGTTATATCAAACTCATTATTGCTATCATCTGAGTGATTATCATTATTGTACAAGACATCTTTTTCATCATTTTCATATCTATCACCCACTTTCTAAAACAACAAATTGCAAATTTGATTGTCCATAAGATTTAGAATTCTCCAATTTGGCACCAAATGAACATGACTTTAATAAACATCTCTGATAGGACAAGTGATTTCATCTTCTACTGGAAAAAATAGGAAACAATGAAAACTAGTCATCTTTTTCAATATTTTTGATATCACTGTTCTAAATACTTTTATACTACAGATATACGTGAAATCAAATTGGAATGAAAAAAAGAGGTTTAGAGGAAGGAAATAGGAAAATCACTTGTGAGGAAGTCAAGTAATAACATCAAAACTGCTGCCCTACCAGAGAGGGGATGAAAACTTGGCCGATGTGTGCTTTGACTTTGATCAAAATGTAGGAAACATTCAAGTTGTTTTTCTAAATGTACACACTTTATATGCTCTGAACATCTGATTTGTATTGAATGTGCTCAAGAATGTTTAATTATATCATCTATTATATAGATGATATAATTAAAATAGATAAAAATCAATACTTTAAATGTAAAACTAGGCAGATTTTATTTATTTAGAAAAAGAATGAAATAAAATATAAAACAAATAATACTGTTGTTCATTTGAAATTTCTAAAAGTATTTTAGGCAAAATTAAATTTAATACAACTTGAACCAGGGTTAATTAATCATAATAATCTTATGGAAAAAGCTATTGAAAAAGTAAGAAATAATTTATTTTCCTCTTCTTTATTCTATTTTATGTGGTTTATTGTTATTACTACTATTTAAAACATGTTAAAAATTAGTCCGAGACTCCACTAGTGTAAAAACCCTCATCATGATATTTTATGCTGGAGCAGTGTGTAAAATGAACATAAAGTAAATTGAGCAGGGTTCAACATTTGATGTGAATATGTCCGTAAAACAGTACCATCAACCAGTCAGAAGTCAATGGACTACTATGTCATCGTGACATCGTGTGATAATTGTGGGAAATGAACTTTTATGCACATTCACTCTGTTCTATCTCTAACTCTCACTGTTTTGGTGCTTGTGTGTTTTTGATTAGTTTTAACATTAGTTATGATCAATCAAGCTACAATGTTTCATTTTTATCAATTTATGCACAAAAAATATTTACTTTCAACACTTAGTGGCAGAAAAAACTTTTCTAGTGGAGCTGGACTTCCACCACAATCCAAGTGCAAGCACAAATAGGTCACACAATTAAAAATAATTGTGGCAAGGGATTTCATGTTTGATTTTTATGCTAGTAGAGTCTTTCTTTAGACAGATTTAACCAGTAAAGAAATAAATCTTGAAGGTCTTTGAATATTTCATAATTTCTCCAATTTAAATGTATAAATGGAGAAGGTTATGAATGGAAATATAAATAAAATTTTTTACAATGAATTATCTTTGTAAAATAAAAGATAATTACAGTAGATCCCCCTATAAAAGCGTTTCCTATAGTTATGATTCCTATAAAAATTGTGGCATTATCCGTAAACAACGGTAAAAATAACTCCTATAATACGTAAAACGTCATCGGGCAGCCGAACTACTTACCCGCCGTCCGTAGCGCCACGCTACGGAGAGATTTCTATCGTCTGGACAGTATTATATAAATTATATATAAATTAGGTACTGTACATATAATTATATATTAATTATATATAAATTAGGTACTGTATATATAATTATATATTAACTTAATTTATTGTAACTTTATTATAATTAAATATATATTTTTCGCCGTCTAGCGTCACGCTACGGCGAGTTAGGCGACCTATCGTCTGTTTAGTACTGTAATTTTATACATTTCTTGTGAAAGAAACATTTCTTATTTAACGGCCATAAAAATTATTTATATTAATGATGTCTCCAAAGGTCAACGAAGTTTTCGCAGAAAAATAATATCAGAAATCGCGGCCGCAATTTGATGCGCTGTTCCGCGACGAAACCAAGCTTTAGCAACGGGCGTAGTCGAACGGTACACACTCGGTAAGCAATCCTACAATTTTTTGTTTATAACGTAGTTTATACGGATTATTTTCAAAAAAATATACGTATTTTGGAAATGTTGAGTCGAATTAGTCTAGAATCGATTAATTTTATGAAAGAAAACCTTTCAAACAGCCGTAGTCCGTAAACTATGATTCCTACAAAATTGATTCATAAAGAACGGAACGTATCTACCGTCTTATAGGGGGATCTACTGTACGTTAATTTTTTCTGTCAGTTTGCAATTCTCAAAGCAATGATTAATTCATATTTTTATTTAAAACTAATATAAGTGATTAATTTTTTAGCTATCAATAATTGTAAAATCAAACATGCATTAGTTGATAAACACTAAAAAGTTTTAGCACTGAATACTTTAATTTAAAATTTTTTTAATAAATGAATTGGTAATAGATTTTAATAAATTTATTTTTCATAATTCTAGTTTTTAATATTATTGTAGATTAATACAATTCAACAATCCTATAAGATTTAAAGGAGTGGGAATTGGACATGGCAGAAAGTATTATAGTGCTTTTATGGGACCAAGTCTTCCATTTAAACCTTCAGAACATTGTGCAGAAATGTCATCCTATACATTAGAGAAACAAGCTTTGCAATTTGGAAATAAACTAAATAGCTATGCCAAAGTATTTATACGGAGGACAGATTTTGGAAAAGAGTATGTGTAATTTTTGTTAATTATTACTTATAACTTATTATTTAATAAAGTACTTCATATAATATTCCACTAATAACAGAATGAGAAATGGTTAACCAGTTTTTTATACTTTACAACAATTTTTAGAATGAAGAATGTCATTCAGTTTAAAGTATATTATTATATCAGTCACATTGACTTTGATTATAATCTTAACACTTCATTGTATTACTATTTAATTGTTATTGTATTTAATATTGACAACATAATCTTTATCAAAATAAATATATTTAAAATTTTTAGTGTATTCGGTATAATGAATTTATATTTTCTTATGTCAAAATGTTTATGAATACTTTAAAATTATTTTATTACATAATTCTTTACTTAAAGTATGATAAGTACAGTAGAGCCTTGATTATCCGACCCAATTGGGGACTGGGGTTGGTCGGATAATTGAAAAGTCGGATAACCGAAAAGTATGAAAAAATCCATTATTAGTGTAGTATATTATTATATCCCATGTAATTAGTATATTAGTATATCGCTATTAACCTACTTTGCGTTGAATTTTCATCGATGTTAAGCCTAACAAAAATTTTTTAAAATAATAATCGTCACTATTGTATCATTAAAAGTTAGAAAATTAAGCCTCGTTTAAATACTGGCTCCCTTTCATGGTCGAATGAGTGTTGCCAGCTAAAACACGTAAAAATAATATTAAAGTAGCCAAGACATATTGTAGCGCCACATCACTAGCAAACATTTGAAATTTGCTGACTAGGACGGTCGGTTAACCGAGGTGTCGGTTAATCAGGGGTCGGATAATCGAGGCTCTACTGTATATTGAAATATTGAAAATGAAAATAAATCTCTAAAAATAATTTTATAAAATAAAGTAATGGTAATTTATTTTATAAAACTTAAAATTTATAATATAAGAATTTTAGCTACAATGTTGTAAATAAAAAAATCATTTATCCACTGCAATCCAAAGGATTCTCTCATGCAATTCTATGCTTACTCTTAACAATCCAAAGGAGTGTTGTATAAATCAAGGAGTCAATGTATTTATTTTTTATTAAAAAATTTTAATCCTTTCATATATCATCATCAGATCAAACAATAATGGTTTGATCATAGGACATATTAAAAAATTTCAAGAAGTTGTAACCCATTTGAATATCAATTAATTTCACCAATGAAAGTCGAACCTCAGGTATACAGTGTTCTGGTCAGGGACAATAGGTTCCAAAGGGATTTAATCCACATTGGTTCCACTAAACGCTCATTTCGAAAAAGGGTGCAAGAGCATCAGTATGACATCACAAGCAAAAGGCATACCACTGCCCTGTCCCCGTACACCACTGACCCTGACTTGCATGCCGACTTCTATAATGCCAGGTTAAATATTTAAACATTAAATATTTGTGTATTTATTTGCTAGAAATTTGTGTTTAGGTGTTATTCTGTTCAATATAGTTCCAGCTTACTTGTGCAGTTGGTTTTTGCCAGGTCCTTAGACAGTCCTTTCAAATTGATCATATTTGGAACCTGGAAGACTTGGAAATTTACAAGGCCAGCCTGACCGGCAAATGCATTAACTTTAAAGACAGCAACACTATATCCTATGCATGGAGGTATAGTTATGAAAAACAGGATAGTACTAGCATATATTAATTTATCTGAGCCATTATTTACCTCTTAAAAAAATTATTGTATATGGGGTAGTTATGTTTTTTATGATTTTTGTAATGTCTACTGTTCAAATTGTTTTATATACGTTTGGTGTTGTTCCAAATTTTTAAACATAATTTTTCAAATATGTTTGTTCTACACATTCTATTTTGGAATTTTGCTAGTTAAAAACCTGATGTAGGCCATGGGTACAGTCAAAAACGTCCATTTTCATTAAAATTTGTGTTCCTGGTCTTTAAAGGTTCTTGATTGTGTGTGATTCATTCCAGTAATTCGGTAAGAAGATAGTTTAACAAAGTAATTTGTCTAGAGTTAGGCATAATAATTAAATAACTTCATATTTAATTATTAACATAGCCTTATTTACAGATTGTCTGATTTTAATCAAAAATCATGCTTGTAGAGTTGTTGTGTACCCATACTGGTTTCTTCTGATTCTTCTGATCCTAATGTATATTGCAGGCTGTCTGGTTATTATCATCTTGATATTCCTTCTTTCAATGTATGGCATAAATACCTTTACTGTGTCCACTCAACACATTGGTGGACCTCATAGTTTGTATTCCTTATTTTATTTTGTCATGTTACACTTCTTTTGCACATGTTTCAGCAAGTTGTTCCAGAAAATAAACTTGGAAGGAATATCAAGATTATTATAACTAGATGGCCCATGATATATGACAGGATCAAGAATCAGAAGAAACAGGTACAAGGAGTGGAAGCACCCAGGTGGTGAAGGATTAGGCCTGACATATCCAGGATGAACTGCCCATAAATTCCTGGGGATTTTTTAACCACCCAGATTTAATTCCTAGTCTCCTAGAGCAGTAGCCTGATGCCTTAATAACCTCATCCATCTGGCCTACATTTCTAATTTTATATAAGCATTTACAAAAAGATAAATTTTCTAACATACATCATTGAGTTGGCAAAATTTCTCAGTCAGTCTCAATCAATATAAGTTTCTTGTCTTAAGTTAAAACATCAAAACGTCTTCAGTTACAGATAGTATAATTATATAATAACTTTATATAATAACTTTTTGAAATTTCCAGTGATTAAAGTGTTGATATTTTGCAAAATGAAACTGAAAGTCTCACTACAAAAGTTGAACATTATAAAATTTGTATTCTTCTAAACATTATAGAAAAATTTATTTAAAAAATAAGAACAGTAGTAATAAAATTTTTAAACAATTGATCATATGCTTCGCTTTAAAATTATATATATGATTAATTACATATAAAAGCTTATTTTTTTTTGTTAATTGTTTATTAATTTACAAAATACAATTTTATAATTTTTATTTATTTTTGATTAATTAATTTTCTTTTATAGTTCTAAATAATAATTCTAATGAAAAATTAATATATATCATTTAAAATAAAAAATAACTATATGATTAATGAAACGTTATAACTTCATTTTTAATGAATTATTATTTATTCAAAACTTAATATTTAATTTCCTAACATATGTAATGTCTGTTAACAAGTATTTATTCTCTCACATAACATAAAGTTTTTATATAAAATTACTATTGAAAGGTTTAAATTTTTCTGCCAATTTTGTAATTTTTTCTGTATATTTTTAGAAACTATTTTTTTGAACTAGTTATACTGTATTTGTACTATAACTATATTTAAACTATTGTAAAAAGTATATTTTTACAAAATAAACTTTTTTGTGAAATAAATTGTATGATAAACTTTATACGTGAAAGAGCAATAATTTTCCTTTCTTAAAATAAAATATTTATATTCTGTTCCAAGAAATTGTAGGATATTTTGATTTATGAATATAAATATGTAGTTATTAAGTAACTTATTAAGTAATGCTTCTTGTCCTTTTTCATTATATATTATTTATTAATATTAGTTTACTGTGACTATAATCTATTAATAGAATTTATTACACTGATGTGACGTCTGAATGAAAAAGAGAGATTGAACTAGTCTATTGGTTTTAAAAAAAAAGCTTTCTTTATTTGCACCTGTATACAATACTTTCTTGTATTTCTCAACCTTTTTGTCTCTCATCAGCAGGTGTTTTATATATTATAATTCTAAAAATACAAATAAACATTAATTATATAATAATAAAACTTATAAAATTTAAACATAATTACATAGATAACAAAATAATACTTTAGATGACTTATATTTAACCAATTCACAAGTCTTCCAAGTTTTTTGGTTAATTTATCCTTCTCCAACTAGATAATGACATTTTCTGTGATTTCAACATAACTAATCATAAGTTTTCTTTAATTAATTAAAATATAAGTAATTTATTTTCCAACTTCTTACTCATTTATCTGTTTCTTTAAGGACTTCTCTTTAATTTCCTTTATTATTTCTTTAACTCTAGTTATAAAATTAGCCGAACTTTCTTCTTCTCTTATTTCCCTGCTGTTGTTGTATTTAAATACATGATTATTAAGATGCCCTCTACTTGTTTTACACTGGACATTCTTTCTTTTCCATTATTATCATTAATTTTATTTCACATTCTTTTATTATATTAATACATCATAAAGTTGTCTTTTAAACATGTTTCTCCCTTTAATATTTTAACTGGCTCTTTTATTATTTCACAACTTTCATTATTATGCTTTTCTGAACTGATCTTATATGTTCTTTGACTTTTATTCCCAAATTTATTTTTAGTTTCTCTTACATATTAAATGTTTTAAACAGCTATTCCTTCTTCTTCTGTTATGTTTTTTTTTTTATTCCTAATGTAGTGTCTGGTGATCATCGAGATTCAGACTTAGTGTCGGGTAAGGATACTAAGAGCTGCACAAAGAAAAGGAGGTCACACAATAAGTAATTCTAAACAACCACTTTATGATACAGAAGGTAATGTACAGCACACAGATCTAACCTTCCTTAAGTTGGCATTCGTGTAACATGCACTAGGGACTTAACACCCCATAACTCTAATATACTTATTACTAGAAATTACGGCTATACTTAGTCAAAAAAAAAAAAATATTTACAATATTTACAGTGATGATCGCATGTTGGTTTCCATTAATACACACTTATCATTGCTAGTGTAACCCGACGTCCATTGTTACTAATGGATCCCAGTACAAATTGATACCCAACAATTAACAAAGAAAAACACCAAAATAACCTTAGATATAGGATATTTCCTTAACCGTCTTCGACGTCCACAAAGGTCTTTGGACTCAATGGTCAATTGTTCCCTGATGCAAGTGGATCCTCTTCCCAAACGAAAAATCTGTTATGTCATTCTAACTTCCGAGTCATAGACGTCAACCCTTCTCGCTGTTGTCCTCTTGGTCAGGGGCTTGAGAGTCTTCACCAGGCGTAGTCCAGAAAGAAAATTTTTGAAATGAAGAAAAGAAATGTTTTTATGTTTGCCACCATCTGGGGCTTCAGCCTTAGTCACATGGTGTCATGACAACCAATCCCGATTAAGCAGGCAGCAGCCGCCAAAGGTGGCATGTGATAAACAAAAAAAAATAAAATACAAATATACTAGTAATGCAACAAAAGGTAGAAAACCCGATACGAACGACTACAAAGTACCTAATATATATATAAGGCTGGGAAACAAAAATAGTGACAGAGCACTACACTAATATTTAAATATTTCTATATTTAATTATTTTGATCTGGTACTAAACTTATATTTTTTAATCCAGATGTTACATCAGTGTAATAAAGTCTTATTAATAGATTATAGTCACATTAAACTAATATTAATAAATAAATATTCAGTTATTTGAACAATTTTCTCTACATATTTTTCAACTAATTAAATTGACCATGTTAGAATCTGAAGTTAAAGACTAAATTTAGCCAAGTTTAAAAATGTGGGTTTACATTTCACATAAAAATTATCAATCTATTCAGGATTATTAAAATTTTTCTCATAAATAAACTAACATTGAATTTCATTGATGTTTTATTTTTTTGTTTTCAGTTTTAATGTTACGTTTGACTTCAGAACATTTTATCCAAACGGACTGATGGTACTTTTAAGAAATAAAAGAAGAAATTCTTATTTTGCAATAATTCTTAAGAGAAAATATATCATTGTCGATGTAAGAGATAAGAAACACAGAAAACTTAAAAGTCAAGGATTTCTAAGTAATGGAGTTTGGCATAATGTATGTTAAAATTTAAAATGATTTATAAATTAGTTGTATTTTTTATTTTAATATCTAAAATTATTTTTATACATAAAATGTTTTAATGAAAATTATCTTATACACAAAATTTCACAATTAAATTCCAATATTAAATAAATTTAAACAAATCACATTTTAGAATAGAAAGTAGAAAAGTTTTAATATTGTTAAAGTAATCACAAAATTTACATATTTTTTATTTATATACAGAGCTTTTAGAAATTGATTAATAGATAAATTAATAATTATTTTAAAAAAATCAAACTCGTGAAATTTTTTACTATATAAAATATTCAAGTCTTTTAGTGACACAAGTATTTTAATGAATTATTGATTAAAATTAAAAATTAGCTGACAGTATTTACATT